GGTTTGAGGTGCCAGCCACCAAGACTTGGGTAAACTAAAGTCCATCAGAGGAACAGTTGTGAAGCTGGGAGAATCCACCGGCACCACCAACTCAGGTGCCCATAATTATCCTAGGTTGCCATAGAGACGGAGAAGCAGTAGCTCTGGCTTCTGGGTGGCCAGCAATAACACCCAGTGTTCTGGACCCTGATAAGCCTAATGTCTTATATGAGAAATTACAGAACATACTGTTTGGCCCCCTAAGGAAAATCCAAATTGCTCGATCGGGTGCCACAGTTGCACAAAGGGGAATTCCACATGGGCTGTCCACAGATCAGCCCTTCCGCTGTGGTTTTCAGTGTCTGCCGGCCACAATCCTCGGAAGGTCACCCAATCCAGTTTGCATAGACTTTGCTTGATTTCGAGAAGGGACTAGCCCTAACTTGGGCTCCTCCTAAAATTCTAACCCACCAGGGCTTTATTCTGAAGTACCCTAATCATAAGGCCCCAAGTTGGAGGAGCCCAGAAAAGAACACAGCCCACAGACCCATGTCCCCTTGACCTCATCCAACCACACTGGGTAGGTATGATGTTCATGAGATCTGTTATAGCAAAGGCACCAAGAAAACCTCTGCCCAACAAGCTGAAGATTATTCAAGGGAATACTAGAAATTTCAAGTTAGCAAAATGTTTTCCATACTCAATGTCCTGGATAAGAAGAAATGAAACTCCCATTATCATCAGTATTTTAAAAAAGTAAATAAAACCAAGGGCATCTAGGAGCCAAACCCCAAAAGGATTCAATATCAGAAAAGTTGACTCCCTTTCCCCCAAGTGACCGTATTGCTCTGCTAAACCCAGCAAGCCAGGAATCCTTAACCTTCCCTTTATGGCTCCAATGCTAACCCACAGGGCTCCCAGCCTGGTCCCCACTCTTGGATCTGAACCACAGAATTACAGCAAGATCCAGGGCAACTAAAGCAAGATGGCTGCCATTTTGCTGAGCATGTGGATGGATTCCTTGTAAGAGCTTGTGCACTGTAGATAGGACCCTTGAAAATCTATTTGCACACACACACCAGCAACTCTCATCTGCCCAATTCCTCTACAGCCAAAAATGGTGAAAACCAACTAGGTGGAGCTTCCCAAAAAATTATTAGGATTTCCTGGGCTGACATGCCTTGGGACTCAGATTTTACCACCTCCCTCTCTCTGACATCTAGCAACAAAGGAACTAAAAACAAAAAGGAAGAAAACACAGATCCCAGATGTCATGAATGTGATACCAGCCCCAGACTGCCAGCCTCTGGACTTCTTGCTGGGTAAGACAAAAAGTCAAAACCCTTTCTTTTTGAAGTAGGATTTTTCTTTCAATTCAGCTGAACACAGAAATTAGGGAATATTTTGGAGCAGGACAAAAATACATATATATATATATATTTTCCCTCCCACAACTTTCCGATTCCCCAATGTGTCTCCATTGGAAAATTTATTTGTATTTAATTAATAGGCATTTCTTAGTCACCTGCTAGCCATCTGGACTAGAGGGCGAATGAGACTCAGGCCACTTGCTGCCAAGGAGCTCACAGTCTCATGAGGGGCAAGGGGTCCTCTCAAATTCACAGAACCAAATGACACCCAGCCTGACACTCCAGCCATCCAAAAGTGCCTACTCTCTCACCTCCTTTCTGAACGGGCTGTTCCCTCATATGAAAACACAAATTCAAATCTCCTAACATGAGCTTGTTGGCATTTATATTTGAGATGTGGCTATAAGTTTGGAACTTTTCCAGATGCATTCCAATGACTTTCCAGATGAACATATGTCCTCACAGACTTGAGATCTAGGAGTTATCTATGTTGTTTTTGATGTTTTCTCAATGTTAAGCGCCCATGGTCTTGACTTTTCAGAGTTTATACTTATCCCTTGATATCAATACTGGAGCTTAGGTTTTAGGGAATCTAGTACCTTCATTGGCAAAATAAGGACTTACATCAAGGAACTCACCAATGGTATCTCTGTCCATTTAGATGATGAAATTTTGACATGGGAAGAGCTAATTAGTTTAAATCAGTGTGGAAGGATCTACTACCCAACACACACCTGGAGATAATTGGCTATGCCTTTTTCAAAACAAAGAATTCAGATCCCAACTTCAGCCCTATTTAATGGGTTATGGATTAAAGAAAGATACAAATGGCTTTTACGCATCTCCTTTCTCCCTACCATCCTTAGCACAAGTGTATATTTACACATATATCTCAAATTATAATAAGAAAATGTAAGAGGTGCTGTCTGTCTCCCTCAGTTGCTCTCCCCGTCCTTCTGAGTGTTTGTCTATGCCCAGACCAGCTTCTTTGGTGTCACACCCTCAGCCTTGGTCCAGGCTCACAGGGGGCAGGGACACTCTGCTATGCCAATCTCAAGTGTATTTGGTCCCTTCTGTGGGCCAGACTTGGTACATAAAAGTTAATAAAGTAATGTTCTGCTCAGAGAGCTCACAGCTGTTGGGGCAAGGTAGAGTGGTGCAGGATTATAGATTTCACAGTGAGGTAATCACAGGGCACTGGGGAAAAAAAAGGTAGAAGGGGATACATACTACCTGGGTCAGGGAGGACATCACAGCCTCACCTGGGATCAGGGACTCCTGGCCTGGCTGGTCTGTGGTGCTGCATCTATATCTAGAACATGCAGGTTAGACAGCACAGTGCTCCTGCAGGCTAAAAGCAGACAAAGCCCAGAAAACCCAGGAGCCAAGAGGGAAAGAGAAAGGTGAAAGGCGTGGAGAATCCCAGCCCTGGACCCTTCCTCTCTGCTTACTGGCAGCAGAACTAGTAGAAATCTGGAAGCAGCAGCAATTCTTGGGTTAACTCCATTCTAGTTTCTGGAAGATTCTTCCTTCTTTGGCAATGGTTGAGTTTCTGCATTGACACTCCTCAAAGGGTGGAGAAGAGAAGCCACAGTCCCTGATGCTGATCCACAAGTCACCCAAGCAGTTGAGCCCATGGGGTGGGGGCATAGAGCCTCTCCTACTTCCCTCCTTCTCATTCCAGACTGACTGGACCCAGAGTGTCTCTCCTCCTTGCTTTGGCACAACCATCTTCTCCAATGAGGAAGACACAAAATGCAGCACCATCAAAGATGCCCAGCAATGAAGCAGGAAGGCGAGGAAATCCCAGAAACCTTGGGGATGCCCTCCACCTGGCCAACTTGTTCTTTAAGCACAAAGCCCCCTGGCAGGGAAGAGGACAGACACGGCTGTCCCCTTGGGGTGGATGGAAAACAGATAAAGGGAGGACAAGTGATTTGCCCTGAGAAAAATGACTTGACAAAGCCTGGACAGAGCCCAGGTCTCCTGGCCCCAGTCCAGTGCTCTTCCAAGTAACTGTGTAAACTGGGATGAGGGAAGCCCTGTGGAAGGGCCAGGTCTGGTCACTTCAAAGGAGCCCCTAAGACCTTCCAGATATCTTCGGAGTTCTGATATCACTGCCCTGATCCTTCTCAAATAAAGGCAGAACAATACTCCTCATCCTAACCCCAACTGGCTGCCCTGTTTCTCCCTGCCCTGTGCACACATGCACACGCGCACACACACACACACGCACATCTATGACTGGACTACTGTGGCTTTTTTGGGGAAGGGGAAGAGAGACAGAGAAAAGTAGGGGAGGGGCCCTTCTGTCCAGCATTTCATGGAATTCTGAATCATTCTCCTTGTTATTTCTAGTTCTTCCCCTCCTCCACCTCCCAAACTCTAGGCTGCGGCATAGAAGCCTACAACCAAAAGAGACACTGGCCAGACCCAGTGGCACACACCTGTAATCCCAGCAATCCTGGAGGCTGAGACATGAGGATAGTCCAGCCTGGACAACTTAAGAAGAATCTGTCTCAAAATTAAAAAAAAAAAAATTAAAAGGGCTAGAGATAGAGTTCAGTGTCAATGCACCCTTGGTTCCAATCCCCAGCACAACCAAAAATAAATAGATAGATAGATGATAGATAGATAGATAGATAGATAGATAGATAGATAGATAGATAGATAAAATGCCATTTACATTAAAAAAAAAAACAAACCTGAGGACTTCCTCATCCAGGCTTTCCTTCTTCACATTGGGGACAGTATTAAGAAGGGTGCTTCCCTCACTCAGCACACAGGTGACACTGTGTGGGTGACAGGACAGCTCTGAACCTTGGTTGACGGTTTACTTTCTACCAAATGGAGATGCTAAGGGTCATGGTGAGAACGATCTGAATGGCACCTAACAAGCTTTGGGGAATGCAGACCACTGTTCCTAACATTCCCAAGAACTGAGAGAGCTGAGGATGTGAAAACTTAGACCTGAGAATCTCAATGAAGCCAGGATCAGAGAAGAAGCTGGCGCTCACCCCTGACCTTCCTGTCCTGTAGGAGGCCAGCCTCGTCAAGAGGTTGTCCTTAAACATGACATGAAAGAACTTGGAGGATATTTAAAGAAGGGAGGATATTTACACCACTCACTTTGACTTGGAAAAAACTGAGTCCAGAGACCTCAGGTGACTTCCCAAATCGGTAAGGAAAAGTCTGGGTATGCAACCTAGGTTGAGGGGGATCCAATTATTTCTCAATCCCAGTGTATTCTGGAATGGTCTATTTGTTCGCGTCACTCTGACCTAGGAACACGCGAATGGAACTCACAGCTGTGGGCCTCTGCACACAGAACAGCTGTTCTCCTCAGGAAGTTAACTTTTTTTTTTTTTTTAATAGAGAAACTGAAAAAAAAGTATGTTAAAAAAGAGCCTCAAAGTTAATATTCAACCAGTCCTTTGCTTACGATGCAGAAATTAAAAATTTTAAACTCAACCAATACAGATTGGAGTCTAGGAAAGGGAGGGACTTGAATGAGAGAGAAAAAAAAAAAACCCTCAGGAAATTGACGGTGGCTTCACCAAGCTCATGATATAAAAGAGGGGACCCAGGAGGAGGTCTACACATCAGGGGCTTGCTCTTGCAAAACCAAACCACAGGCAGACTTGCAGAAGAAGCAGAGTTCCGCAATGCCCAACCCCATGCTGCTATATTGCCTGGTCCTCCTGGCTGGGATGGGGACCAGCCAAGGAGAGAACACCCAGTCTGAGGAAACCTGCACCCACTTCCCAGGTGGCCTGCCTCACATGCTTCGAGAACTCCGAGCTGCCTTTGGCAGGGTGAAGATTTTCTTTGTAAGTATTGCTGCTTTCTTTCCGGGACTGCCAGGAGAGGGTATTCCTCTTCCTCCTCCTCCTCCCCTTCCATCCCCAACACTCATTCCCCTCAAACCTAATTTCTTAAGAAAATCCACAATGGAGCCATGCCCAGATGATGTAGGAAAGGTGCAGGGAAAGCTGCCTAAGTGGTTCATAAATGCATTCTCTCCTATGCTCAGAAACTTTCTATAAGATTCTATGGAGATTGATACTTTATTGACTGGGAGAGAACAAGAAAGTTCTGATGGGAGGTAGAAATGTTCTACTTATTCTGGGGCAGAAAAAAACAGAAATTGCCTCTGCTTAGAGGGTCACCAAAACTTAAAGACTGAGATTTGGGACAGGACCATGAGTAGAGAAAACTTGCGTTGGGAGAAGTTTCCCGTTCCTAGAGAGTTCTCAGAACTGGAGCTGGATGTCCTCCGGGGACAGAAAGAAAAGCAAAGAGCAAGACATGAGAAGGGATTCAAGAATAAAAGGGTTGACAAAAGCTATGGCTCTACGGAAAGACCAGGACTGAGTCCAGCTTCTGTCTTCTCTTCAAAATCAGCCTGATTTTTAAAGTAACTTGATCTGGAGTGGGAGGACCTGATTTAACAACGAGTTCTAGCACTCTCCTTTTTTTAAGCGGGCAGGGACTCCATAGATCACAAATTGAAAGCTCCATAAATAAAAGGGCATGGGAAAGACGTGCATCTCAGGTTTCCCCACACCTCCAGTTCACTGGCTTCTTCTGTTCTTACAGCAAACAAAGGATCAGCTGGATGACATGCTGTTAAGCGAGTCCCTGCTGGAGGACTTTAAGGTGAGAGCCAGGGCAAGGGAGCAATGTGATTAAGGGAAGGGAGGCGGGGTGACTGCAGACAGCTGGGTTGGCTTCCTTCACTTTGAAAAAGAGAAGTAGGAAGATCTTAACTCAGCACAAAGCCAGCAGCCAGGGGCTTAACAAAGGGCTCTATCCTGGGGGAGAGGTGGCTGGTTAAGGAAGGTCCCCAGGACCAGGGTGTCCTCTGCAGCTAGCTGCACCAGCTCTTCCTCCCAGTCACCCCCACTCTTTGGCACCTGCCCGCAGGGTTACCTGGGTTGCCAAGCCTTGTCGGAGATGATCCAGTTTTACCTAGTGGAGGTGATGCCCCAGGCAGAGAACCACAGCCCAGATGTCAAGGAGCACGTGAACTCCCTGGGGGAGAAGCTGAAGACCCTCAGACTACGGCTCCGGCGCTGTGTGAGTAGCAGACCTGTGCACGCCATCTCCTATGACCTAGAAGGGTTACATCCAGAGACACACCAAGACCTAGAGTGCCAGGGCTAGTTGTGAATTCAGAAAGGTGCCGGGAGTCAGATCTCTTGCTCATTTCTCTCTGGGGGTGGGGTGGGGGAGCACTAGGCATTTACATGTGAAGATTTGCACATAGCTTTCCTGTTATTTGTGAGTCATTTGTGGGTTATTAACTACTCCCCTCTCTCTTTATGAAAGGGGCCCTGAGCTTCAGCCAGGGCTCCCTTGTCCCTTTGGACCCAAGCCTCAGCTCCCAAGGAGGGGGGAGTGTCACCCACCTCTTCTCAATCTTTGGAAAACAAGTCTCTTAGTGTGGCACAACTGGCTGACAGGATTTCTCCCAGTATTTCAGAAGGACCAGGGGACTACTGTCCCCAAGCAAGTGTCTGTGAATAAATCTCCCAGATGATTTATTTCTCCACCTGAAGTCGGCCCTTGCTGCTGATGGTTTGTTTTGATCTCTCACTGAGATTGGAAAATTAGTCAGTGTCATCTTACTGGACAGGGCATAGCTGGAACAATGTCTCCACTTCTCAGACACTTGGAAATGGTCCTTGGTGTCTGGGATTAAAAGAGAGGAGACAAAGAGGCAGGAAAGGGACAGTAGACACTGGGGTTCTGGCAGAGGAAGCCCATCACCTGGGTTCTCAAGCAAGAAAAAGACAAACATTTCATCTCCCTGGTTATTTCTTCTCTATCCCTTGGGTGGCAGGATTGTAAGACTGAGGTAGGCTCCATTCTCCCTGGGAGTAGGAGAAGTGGGCTTTCAGAATGAATCGGGCCCCCTCCTCATGCTACCAACTTGTCCCCCCCAAGTGCCATGGACACAGGAACCGGGTCCATTAACACTTTCTCTTTTCTTCTGTAGCATCGTTTCCTTCCCTGTGAAAATAAGAGCAAGGCCGTACAGCAAGTGAAGGATGCATTTAGCAAGGTGAGCCTGGGTGGGGGCAGAGAGGGTCTGCAGAACACAAACTCTGCCCACTCCTCAAGGGCAGAGGGTGGCAGGTGCTCAGCCAGCCTGTCCCACACTTGGAGGGGGTGTGGGAACTTCAGAAATGGTGTGAGCTCCTCAGCCAATGAGGAGCAGCTGCCTCGGTTCTATTTGTTTTCTGTGAAGTGTCTTGGGAGTTTCTAAATGACTGTCTTTGCAAGCTTTCAGCTTGGACGGGCCAGCGAGTTAGGTGCTGGGGAGAGTGATAAAGGAAACAGAAAGAAAGTAGCTCATCGGGAATCCAGGCTGAACCCACACGTGCAGGAAGCTGACACGTCCCTGTGCTCATGCAGACACACTTGGGGGTTCAGGCTGGATTCCCCTAAACTTAGAATGAGCAGGAAGCAGAATTCTTACTTATCTAGAATTGATTCAAGTTCACTTTCCTTCTGCCCTTCATACCTCCCCAGGTGCCTGAGAATATGAACTCCCAAACTGAATGGGGTTTCATACTTCCAACTGCCTAAGAACCTCTTAAACCCTATTTCCCAGAAGCTATGTGGTCTGTGCCCTTTTCATGGGCTGGGAACATCCACTAGAAAGGGCTCCAGCATCAGTGGGCACAAGTCCCCTAACAGGTGAAAGCAGCCAGACAGGGCCTGCTTGATCTCTTAGTGGGAGAATACAAATATAAAAAATTTCCTTTTCCTCATTGTCTTGCTTTCAAACTGCTTCCTCTAATATCTTTTCATTAAATTCTGCATAAACACTATGTGAACACCTGACCTTTAAAAATGTTGAAAAGACACCATTTGAAAACTTGCTTTGCAGAGTAGATGCTGCTTTCACTGCCTGCTGGCCTGTGAGGGCTAAGGGTCAAGGCCCAGCCCTTTCCCAAGGCAGCTGGGCATATCCTTGATGGCCAGGGTCACTCTTCACCTCCCAACACAAGAGAGCAAGAATAGCCTCTACGTTTGACTCCTGTCTTGCCCTTCCAAGTGGAGGGGGCCCCTTCCTCCACCAGTAGGTTTTAATCAAGTGTTTCTTATCTCCCTGTGCAGCTTCAAGAGAAAGGCATCTACAAAGCCATGAGTGAGTTTGACATCTTCATCAACTACATAGAAGCCTACATGACAGCGAAGATAAATAGCTAAAACATCCAGAAGGGCAACTCTACTGTACTCTAGGATATAAATTGGAAATCCCCAAAATCTGGCTCAGGGTTGTAAGCTAGTCAAGCCAGCTCCTTCGAAAACCCTGCTGCACCTCTCTCCTAGAATATTTATTACCTCTGATACCTCAGTTCCCATTTCTATTTATTTACTGAGCTTCTCTGTGAACTACTTAGAAGCCCAATATTATAATTTTTTCAATATTTATTATTTTCACCTATGTTTAAGCTGTTTATATAGGGTGACACCCTATGGTATTTGAGTGTTTTAAGATAAATTATAAGTTTTGTAAGGGGAAAAAGTGTAACTTGGGGAGCCAATGGAAGTTTCCATCCCAAGCATGACTACACTTCTGGCTGTTGAGCTGTTTTCCATGATCTCCCTCTGATTTCTCTTGTCCTTGGATCTGGGCTCCTGGATTGCTGCAAAGACTCTTCCCCTCTTAGGAAGAGAAACCAGGCAGTTAACCAGGATTAACCTCCCCACATCTCAGAGGGAGTCCCCTGACCTCATTCTCCAACTATTTCATTCTCTAAAGCTGTGGCCAGCTTGTTATTTATAGCAACCTAAAGTTGGTTCTAATAGAACTCAGTTTTAACTACAAGTAATTCAGTTCCTTTGGGAATGTTATATTGTTTGTCTGTCTTCACAGCAGATTTTAATTTTGAATAAATAAATGGATCTTATTCAAACTATGGTGTCATCTGACTCCTGTGTGACAGAAATGGTTCTCTTAAGGCTTCCACAAGACGAAAGGAAAGGGGCAAACGAATGAATTACACCTTCCAGAGAAAGGAAGCCAGCAACTTCTCTAGGAAAGGAGGCTCCAAACTTGATCAGGAGAAAAAGCAATTCTCACTTTCAAAGCCCAACAGCAAGACCACCATGGTCTTCCCATAATGCAGTCCTTTAAGATGTACCCCTAACTCCTTAAGAATTATGCTGACTTTGAAGGTTAAGAAAGATTATTTTGTGGGGGTGGAGCTATAGCTCAGTGGTGAGAGCACTTGCCTCGCACATGAGAGGTGAGG